TCGCTGAGCAGGCTCTCTAAATGACCCCCACTGATCCAGTGGTGTCGTACTGTATATCAGGAAACGGTAGAGAAAAAACATGAGGACATTGTGCCATCTCACCCATGTCCCGCGGATGCCTCTGGTCTTCCCGAGCGCCTTTTCTTGGGAGGCGTGCGCCAAGTTGCTGTCTTGTCACATGAGGGTTCCGGTACTTCGCAGACCCAGCCGAGTAACTCGGGTACCGGGATGTTGAGCTCGGAGTAGAAGCATACCAGCTCCTCCGGGAAGCGCAAAGTAGCCGATCTGCCTCCTTTCCGGGCGATCAGGCTGGCTGGAAAGCCCCATCTGTAGATTATCTCGTCTTTCCGCAGTTGGTCCAGTAGGGGGCAGAGGACTCGTCTGCGTTCTAGGGTTTCGCGGGCCAGGTCTGGGTATATGTGAAGCTGAGCACCATCAAAGTCAATGGCCGGCATCCCCCTTAGCTTGCGGGACACTTCTTCCTTATCCCCATAGTTGTGGAATCTGCATATAACATCCCGAGGGGCCGTATCAGCCAAATTACGTGGGCGCAGTGCTCTGTGAGACCTGTCCAATCGTATGGGCGTAGTGACCGGTCTCCCCAGGATAGTGTTAAATATACCTTGCAGGGAGGCCATGAGACCCGCGTCTGCCGTAGCTTCTGGCAGGCCCCGAATCCGCAGATTATTCTGCCGGTTGCGGTTCTCCTGGTCCTCCACCTTATAGAGGAGATTTCGGTGTCCCACGGCCAACCGCCTGTGAGCTTCATGCAGGTCTCGAATAGCTCTGTCATGATCATCCAGCCGGGACTCCGTTTCCTCCACCCTCGTAAGGATATGTGAGAGATCCGCTCTCATGCTGGACAGATCTTCCTTGAGCGAAGTTTCCAGGACCTGGAACATGTGAGCCAGGTCCGCCTTCGTTGGAAGGTCTCTCATGGCATCTGGCACCTGCAGATCTGCCTGTAGCGTAGCCGGGGAGGAGGCTTCCGAATCGCTGGAGGAGCCCGGAGAGCTCGGGGACAGTGGCGTGGCCGGGAGAGTACGGGCCTCGGATCTATCTGCAGGCGCCTGGCGCGTGGTAGGCCGCGAGGGGGCCTGAGAAGATCTCGTGTCCGCGATTAAGTACCGTTTTAAAGGTACCGGAGGCCGCCTTTTTCGAGGCGGAGGAGCGTTGGCTTCTCCTTCCCATGTTTGAGGTCAGATGGATAGCAAGTCAGGTGAAAAGTAAGTCTTATTACGGCAGTTTTTTGCGGGCTGAGGTGGGAGCTCTGCTTAAGTGCGACCGTCCAGCGCCATGCGTAAGCCATGCCCCCCCTAAAATATGTATTTTAACATGTGTGCAAAGAAAAATGCTTTGGCAGCGAAAGGGTCCTTAGGGGGTTAATGGCAGTGTATTTAACCCATTCCTGACTGAGCTTTATTTCATTTTCTGTTCGTTAATGACTGAAGCACGTTTACATTTTTGCTGTGTGATTCTTCCTCAGCAGTAATATACTTTCTTTCCAAGTGTACCCACACATATTATATATTGTTTTTTTTTAGAGAACAGATAGGGTTATGCCTCACCTAGTACGAATAAGATATTTAAAAAAAAAAAAATGTAAAGCAAACACTTTTTCCTCCAGTTTTGATTATAATATTTTTTTAGAGAAATAGCACAGCTAAAAAAAATGCATTAAAATAAATCCATTTATTTGGAAACTCTACATCCCTAGGATTTCAGAAAATGTTCTGTACTTCTCAGCCTACAACTAAAAGCTAACTTTTTATTTCCCCCCCCCAAAAGCTAATAGTGGTTAGGTAGCATAGTTTGAACATCGCCGTCATGAGGGGATTTATTAAAACAATTAACCCCTTAGGGTGAAAAACAATTTAATTTACAATTTCATTATAAGGGGTTAATTTTTTATAATATTTATAGTATAAACCAAATAGATTATATATCTATTTATTTTTTTTACCATTTACACTATTTTTTTTATACTTTGTTTTTTTTGTCAATTATATCAAGCAGTCATTGTGAATGAATCCCACTAGGACTTCTTGATAATTGAATAATTTTTTTTTGATGTTTGGTTATTATTAGGCTGTTTCAAACATGGGAACAGCGGATAATAACCTTAGTGACACTGATCCTTACATGCCGATCCTGCAAAATGTCAGGGTCAGTGTCACCAAGTCCCTGTTCATACCTGGGCATTTTGACGCTTAAAGTTAAATGCGACAAAACTCCAAACACTAGAAATTACATTCATTTATATGGCCCCTGTTCACACTTGAGTTTTGTCACAAGCTGTAAAACGCTGGAGAAGGTACATGAGCTTCTTTCTGGACGATTACAGCATGTTTGGCCGCATAGACTTCAATGGAAGTGCATAAAAAATTGCGACACAAGCGTTGTGCACCCTCCGATGCACGTTTTGTGTGCGTTTGAGCGCACATTTCCTCATTCACAGCAATGCATTTCGATCTGCTCAATAAAACGCATGTCTTTGTATATGCGCGCCTAACGTGCTTCACACGCCTGGGTGTGAATGGAGACTAAGGGCTTGTTCGCACGATGTCCGGATTCTGTCCGGACCAGAACCGTGCGCTCCTGCACCCAAAATGCATCCCAATGTCTCCCTATGTGTTTTATGGGCTACAGTTCTCATCAGCGCAGTCCGTACCGGTCCGGACAGAAAAAATACTGCATGTCACATTTTCTCCGGTCCGTTTGCGGACGCGTCAAAAACGCAACCTAAAACGAACCGCACTGCAGCTAACATACTGACAGCCCCACTCCAGATCTGGACCAGAAAATGGTGTGAACAAGCCCTAAAGGCTTCTGATCGTTCCCAGAACGCCAAAAAGGCTGATACAATGTTTCAGAATAGAAACATTTTGCTAAATGTCTCTCTTCTGAAACATGTAGCAAAAAGCCTGTAGACATCAGGATTTCCTAATTCCGCTGTGTACAGCTGTCAAACAGCGACAGCAAGTGCAGTCACTGTCAGACACCCCATCGCTAAAAGCAATGGGGTGTTTGTTAAAGCTTAATTATTTCATTAATGGATGCCTCAATAATGATTGTCAGTGGTTACCACCATTTCAAAGCCCTAAAAAGCTGCTCATGTACAGTGTACATGAGCAGTCATTTGGGCACTTAGTGGCGGGGACGTACAGTGTACATCTCCCATCACTGAGGGGTTAAACAAGCTGTTAGCGGGCTTCAGCATGTTTACAGTAAGCTTCCAGCAGAACTGAAGTTGACTGAAAGCCTACCAAAGTCTGCTATCAGATTGTTTAAAGAAGAACTCCAGGAAAATCACAAACTTACCCTTACAGTGGGGCTACCCCTGCACTACAAAGGTTATGTGCTTGTTTTGTATAGGGGAACGAATGGCAAACGCACTCATCAATTCATAACTAGCTTTATAGCAAGGTGCACATGGAAGGGCTTAACAAAGTACAAAAAACAAACATTCCCAGCACACTCACTAACCAGCCTGCACAAAAAAAAAGTACACGGTCTAACTACTAAGGTTATAAACAGAGCTTTTTAGTTGCACAACTTTTGCAAAACATGTGGAAGCTGCACTGCTACAGAGGGGCTTGGACGAGGCATTGCGGTTTCCATATGTTTCGCAACAGTTCTGCAGCTAAAACCTGTTTTAACCTTAGTAGATAGACAGTGTACCTTTTTTTGCAGGCTGGCTGGTGAGTGTGCTGGGAATGTTTGTTTTTGTACTGTGTTGAGCCCTTCCCTGTGCTCCTTGCTTTAAAGCTAGTTATGTATAGGCGACTCAAATAAAGCTATATTACTTACCAGATCCTCAGTCCTACAGGCTCCCTCCGTGCTGCAAGACCTGTCCCTGCAGCCTCTTCTCCCGAGTTACGATGGTATATCCAGACTGCTGATGTCAACTCATCTTTTGCAGCTTCATAGACCTGCATTACACTTAGGCCCCGTTCACACTGAGCGATTTATCGCGCGGTAATTCCCGCGATATCGCGGCTATTTACTGCGCGATATCGCTCTCCAATGCATGGCAATGGGGCTCTGTCCGTCGCTGTCGCGGGTCGTTACAGCAGGACCCTTTTTGGAGCGGATTTTGCCGCGATTCTAGCTTGCTCAATGCAAGCATTTGCGTCCTTATCGCGCAAAATGCAAATCGCGCGACAAACGCGCGATTTGCGAATCGCTCAGTGTGAATGGGGCCTTAAGGACACCGAAGAACATTCCATAGCCAGGGTGGAGGGGGGGTGAGTGCTTACCACCACAGGACCCAGGATCAGGCGAGTACCTTGTTTCCCCGAAAATAAGACAGTCTTATATTTTTTCCCCCCGAAAAAAGACACTAGGTCTTATTTTCGGGGGATGACTTATTTTTACCTGGCTGCAGCTGTCTGGAGCTCTCCGCTCTGTTGCCGTCCAGGGAGCCGCCAGTCAGAAGTTGCCTGACCTCACTTCGACCCGTGCTGTGCCTGCTGGGAAATGTAGTCTTCAGCGGCAGCCGAGGCAGACAGGTATGTGTGCGGGTGTGCGGGGCGGGAGGGAGGGAGCTGCGGCAGGTCTTGACATGTAAATTTCAATTACATGTGCAGCTACCCCGAAAATAAGACCTAGAGCTATCTTCAGGGATTTCTATAATAAAAGATCTACCACTGAACTAAGTCTTATTTTCGGGGTAGGTCTTATATTACAGAAATCCATGAAGATAGCGCTAGGCTTACTTTCGGAGAAACACGGTAATACGGTATTTGAGCCCCCTATACAAATCAAGCTCCTAAACATTACAGTGCAAGGGTAGCCCCACTGGAAGGGTAAGTTAGTGATTTTCCCAGAGCCCCTCTTTAATACACATAAAGAAACAGGAACATTGTCTTATCCGAACCAATGCTCTCAATTTCACTGGCTGAATCATCGCCCAGTCAACAAGGCTGGTGATATTGGAAGTAATTACACAGGTTTTATGATGGTATCTGGTTCTGTAAAGAAGTATTGCATTCACATACCCCTGTGGCATCCCTCAGATCCGGAAATCTTGCAGCAACAGATCTTTCTGCCATTTCATACAAATGGTGACACTTTAAACTGTCTAAGATTTTCTTGAAGTCCATCAGACGGGAATGCACCACAGATGCAAAACACCTAGAGATCAGACAAGATAAAGAAGTATTAGGACTGAACACTGCTGCAGAAGCTCATTTAAAAAAAGCAGGACAAACAAGTGAAACAATCCCTCCTTAGATCCAAAACATTGTTTTATTATTGCTGATATAGACATATTTCAAAGGGTTAAAAAAAAGAAGAAGAAAAACCTTAGTAAACACTTATGGTGAATTTCAATAGATGCTCGAGGTTCTTTCTGTGCCTAATCTAGTCTAATCTAAATTGCACTGATCCTTGCTCCTGGCCGGCGGCTAGATTCCACGGTCGGCAGCAGAATGTAAACAATGGGGAGCAATAGCCAGTCCGCTATTGGTTATTACAATTTTAAATAGCCAATAGCAGGCTGGCTATTGAAACCCTGGCCACTGAGCAGAGCAGCAGACCTGAGAGAGCACTTTCTATGGTATGCTGTGTGGGGCCTATGGTGGGGTGTGCAGGATCTGTGGTGTGCTTTGCAGGGTCTCAGGTTGGTTGTGCAGGATTTGTGGTGGGCCCTGCAGGGTCTCAGGTGGGCTGTGCAGATCTGTGGTGGGCTCTGGGGGGGTCTATGGTGGGCTCTGCCGAGTATCAGGTTGGCTGTGCAGGATCTGCTGTGAGCTCTGCAGGATCTCAGGTGGGCTCTACAGGATCTATCGTGGGCTGGGCTCTGCAGGGTCTTAGATGGGCTGTGCGGGATCTATGGTGGGCTCTGCAAGGTCACGTGGCCAAGGCCCAGCAGCGGGCGGCTCGGCGCTGACCGTGGATGTCTTGGAGGCAGGCTGGGGAGCTGCAGGTAAGAGGAGTGCACGTGTGCAGGGAAAGGTTGACTGTGCAGGATCTATGGTGGGCTCTGCAGGGTCTCAGGTGGGCTGTGCAGGATCCTTTGTGGGGTCTATGGCAGGCGTCTCGCAAAGCTCATGGCAACCAAAGACATCAGTGGTTGCCTGGAGCTGAGCAGGACCCTGCCAGAACAAAAAAAGTCAGCTATCTTCATAAATCAGTGGACTTTTGCTGATGCACGGAGCAGCACGCACACTTCAAGTGGACCCCAGGGCATGTGCCATATGTGGAGGACACAGTACATATATGGGCCAAACAGGACGTTACATTGTGCCTCCTGCTCATACAGAGATGTCTGCAGGGATGAACAGTACATCTAGAAAGCCACATCCCAGTTAAACAGCACTGCTGTAAAGAATTATTCTAAGCTGAAAATTTGCTTATGGGTATCCTGGAGCTCACAGAAATCAGTTAAAGCCAAACTTCAATCCCAAAATCTAAATAACGGGGACGCAGGAAACAATACCAGTACTAAGTGAGGGGTGCTAGAACAGGAAGCCTAAAGAGGAACTTTACCCTCATCTGTGAAACGACAACAAAGACACCTTTAGAAATGTTTAGGAATGACAATCTACAAACAGATACTTCTACCGTGTTTCCCCGAAAGTAAGACCTAGCGCTATCTTCAGGGATTTCTGTAATATAAGACCTACCCCGAAAATAAGACCTAGTTCGGTGGTAGGTCTTATATTACAGAGATCCGCTAGGTCTTACTTTCGGGGTAGCTGCACATATAATAGAATTTTACATGTCACAGCCGCAGCTCCCTCCC